CAGTTAATATATGTTTAATTTAGCAATAGCTGTAATTACAATAGATTAGGAATGAGTTCTAATTTAGATCTACCTATACATAACGGAAGTAAATTATATTATGGCCAGAATCCTAATATATGCATACGTTTTGCTTAATTTGTTGCAGCTAACTGCAAATAATTGTGACGGATCTGGGGAATGTCTCGGTTGCATGCCTGATCATAGACATGATTTTATTACTGAGATGCCCCCCCCAGTGCATTGTCAGTTAATCACAATTCATCATGAGATGTTATGCAAAGACATCATCAGGATTCCAATCTATAAATGATTTCCAAGGTATCTTTCAAAGTTCTTAGTTTCAGCTAATTAGAAGAAACTGCTGTATTATGTGTTAATTAAGTTTCTTTTATCAGATTTGTAGGAAATACGATTGCACATACTGAAGTCAACAGTACAAGGATGGGTGTTGTGGTGGAGAGACTGGAACATTCATTGAGGAAAGAAGAGCAAATTAGCATAAGAAACAAGATCAGACATCTGGCTTGAAGCTGAATCACAGGTGAGGGCCATCTAGCCATATGACCAACAACAATTTCATTGCAATGAGTTAAACAAAATGTATCCACATTATAAATTATATAATTATGTGGCCATTTTGATACAATAGACTAGGCTTCCAAGGAAGAAATGACACTCATACGAATCATAACTGCCAATCTAGTAACGAACAAGATGCATGAAGAGAGTGGGCACATGGCTAAGTGACACTTGCCAATCCTCTTTGTGGCATAGTGTACATTTTTGTTGTTGTTTAGTCATTAAGTCGTGTCAGACTCTTCGTGACCCCATGTACTGGAGCATGCCAGGCCCTCCTGTCTTCCACTGCCTTCCAGAGTTTGGTCAATAGTGTACATAGCTTTGGGCAACTGCTTTTCTCCTCTTGTAGTTGCTGTAAACTTCACTGAGTGCTAGGACATTAGAAAATCAATCAATCAATCAATCAATCAATCTATCTATCTATCTATCTATCTATCTATCTATCTATCTATCTATCTATCTATCTATCTATCTATCTATCTATCTATCTCCCCTTAGAGGGACGCAAGGCAGCTTACCAATGATTTTTAAAAGTATTTAAAATAATCACAAACAAAATAAATTAAAGAATAAACAACTAAATATGCTTGTTCTAAAAAGCTACTATATACATTCTGTTTTAAACAACCTACAAACACATTTTAAAAGATAAAAATAAAATGACTTTCCCCCCACCCTTAAAATTCTTTCCTGGACAACAGTTTGCATATTAAAAGCCTGCCTGGGGAAAAAAAAAGAAATCAAACGTGACAGTTTTCCTGTTTACTTTTTTAAAAGACACACACCCCTTTTTTTTCAATTTCTGTGTAATTAATTAACCTTGACCTACACTGAGGCAGGGTGAACTTGTGGGTCTTCTGATGTTTTTTGAACTTGGGTTGACCTAAAATATTTTGTTGTCTGAGGCAAATGACCAGGGACCAACTCCCTTCTCCTCTTCAGTTCCAGGTAAAACGTCCGACTGGACTGCCCTTCAAATCTTATTTGGACCCTGACAAAATGGCACCTCTTCCTTTTGAAAGGAGTAGGGTAGCTGACGAGGCAGGCAGCAATCTTATGCCCTAGTACAAGTCTAATCATTTCACACAACTGCTGCTTGAGGTATCTGCCCCTCATGTTTGAGTTGGCCCTGTGTGTTTTCAAATCTGTGCTAATCAAAAAAAAGCTAATAATGAAATTCAACAGTTTCTGGGTGGGGAGGGGGGCACATATTACACAACTGCTGTATAAAATTCAAGGGAAGAGACAGAGATACAGGATTAGACCCTCAGCTTCTATATCTCTGTTTATGGCTTGATACTACTTTAGACTTTTACTGATGATTTTTGCTGGCTATTTGTGTGTTTTGAATGTATGGTGTTCCAAATTTTGGGGAATTAACTTTCTGCTTTTGTTTATTTTTTCCCCCTTAGGTTCTGACAGCTTTGTTCTTCTTCCTCAGCAATAGATAACAGGTATATTGACATTTGTCAGCCCATCTCAACTGTGGCTAGGGAGCGGTACACAGCATGCAGAGAACATAACAAGAAAGCACTGCTGTTCATCATGGTAAACCTGGAATTACTCTCAAACTCCCCAAAGGTAAGAAGCAGGGATAATAATTTATTACTTGGGCACACATGATGCTCTTTGAGTTTTAAGCAGGAAAATCCTCTTAGCATTTTCTTAGAACAACACGAAACACATCCTTGCCATCACTTCCCCCTTTAGTAAGCTCTTGGAGTCTATAATTCCTTTTCAAATACAATCTGTTTAGAAAAATCTGGTTTATTGTGGTTACTTATTCCTGGTGTTACTATCATCAGGAGAAATATTTTAAGGTTCTTTTGAGAAAATAGATACAGTAAAAACATCCCATGTAATTTGTTTTCTGCTAAAATTTCAAGACCAAGATCCAAAGGAACTTTTGAGTCTTCCTCATATAATATTCTGAAAACCTACCTCAAAGGCTAGAAGATCTTTTACAGTAGCATTCCATTGCTCTGGAAAGGGCTGGCTGCAAAAGAGAGAACGAGCTACATGCATGTGTGTGTGTACACATTGTATACATACTTCATTAACTTTCATGAGCTCTGTTCTGATATTTGGGAATACTCGTTTCCCAGTCCATCTCTGACTCTAGTTATATCAACTAAAACATATGGATGGTGGTAAGTCTGAAGGGAGAGCCTTTGCTATCAGAGCAATAGAAATGATGATGGAGAAGATAATGCTAGGGCAATCTGGCTATTCATGATGAGTATTTCCAGATATTAATGACTGGTTATGAACTTCTCTTAGTTTTGCATTTAGAATTTTCCTTTCTTTCTTTTTTGGAGAGCAAAGACACAATCAGTAGGGATTTGGTGGTTCGACATATGTGTAACTTCCACTGATTTAATGGACTTACTCTGGTTGTGACTTGCAGATTTCAGCCAATAAGGGACAAAAGATTCCAAGCAGACCATAGCAAGCACATCAAGGCAAATCAGCTTTGCCAATAAAGCTACCTGCTCCC